AACAACATCGCCCTCAAGTTGAAACTTTCTTTCCTATACCCATCATAAACCTCCACACCGTTCTCCCACAAAATCTTCAAATCTTCGATTAAAGGTTCCAAATATACGTCTATGTCATTTCCTGGTTGTTTAGGCCCAGAAATTAACATAGATAACATCATGTACTTACGCTTCATACATAGCCAAGGAGGTAGGTTATAAATCATAAGAATTACAGGCCATGTGCTATGCGAGATACTTTGAATACCGTGTGGGTTCATTCCATCAGTAGACAATGCCAAGCGAAGGTTTCTTGCGTCTTTTCCAAATTCAGGATAATCGTTATCAATTTTCATCCACTGTGGTGAATCAGCCGGATGTCGAAACTTTCCATCAACAATTCTTTCATCTGCATGCCAAGTTAAATGTCTTGAATCGGTTTCACTACGATACATCCGTCTAAATCTCGGAATTATAGGAAAATACCATAAGACTTTTGCCGGAGACAACTTTTTCTTATATCGAGGGGCACCGTATTTAGGACACTCATTTAACGATGCATACTCGTTTCGAAACAAAATGCAATCTTTTGGACAGGCATGTATCTTGTCATAGCTCATGCCAATAGAGTACAACATCTTTTTGGCCTCATACGTTCGATTAGGGAGAACATTATCCTCTGGTAGCATATCTTTCATAAGGGCTAATAACTCTGTGAAACTTTTATCCGACCATCCATTGCCCGCCTTTAAGTTGTACAACTTTAATACCGCAGACAATCTTGTGAATTTTGTACAACCATTATACAACGGTTTCTCTGCATCGCTTACCAACCTCTCGAACATTTTGGGACAATCATTAAGATCTTCTTCAAGCGCTTCTGCAATCTCTTCAACTCGATCATAATCGTATGTATCTGTGCCATTGTCGTTTGAAGCATAGGTCCTATTATCCCCCGATTCATCATTCCCATCACTTTTCTCACCATGCATATTCCAACATGTATAACTTCTATCAATTCCATACCGTATTAGATGCGATGCCAACTGAACCGCGTCAACCCGATTCCCATAACAGCAACACAAACAAGGACATGTCATTCGACCGGGGTCTTCGGCGTGCGCAACGGCAAACTTAACGAATTCCGATACCCCGTTCTCGTACTCTTTCGACAATCGATTGGAATACATCCATGTCTTATCCATGGTTTACGGTTTCTGAGTCAATCTGAGCTAAACAAAAACTTAACTTAATCAATTTGTCGAACACTTGGTGTGAAATCAATTTTAATCAGATTTTTCTTTGGTTTTGTTGATATGAAAAATCAATTGCAATTTTATAGATTACAATCAACTCAACAAAAAATTGTTTAAAATATTATTGATAAGAAAATTATCTCAATATGTTGATTGCACAATCAATGAATTCACAATTTACAATAAAAATGAGTGAAAGATAAGGAGAGATAAATTTGTTTAAGGAGTTCTCCTATCGATCTAAGGGCACACCTTCCCTTAATTTCAATGAAATTGAGATAATAACTTAAATGAAATTTCTACGACGATTTTTGCGGCCGTAAGAGCCAACCGTCGTCAATTTTTTGGTTATGTAAAGGCAAAATATATAGAATCCTTTTGGTGGAAGGTACAAGTCACATTTCATGTCTTACGACGGTCATAAGAACCGACCTCGCTCAAATTCCACGACCGTTCTCCACCAGCCACCATGTTCCTATATACCCATTTTCCAATTTACGCGGCTATGTTTTCCAAATTCTATCGCGTTTTCATTTTCTTTCAGAATCGTAAACCCTTGTACTTTTTCCATCCAAACTGAACCGTATTCCATTTTCCTAACCTAAAATTGCAAAAATTTCTTGATCTATCTAATAATATCAAATCTGCAGAATCATTTTTCTCTCACATCTCATGTACAAAGAAATTCAGTGAAGGTAAAAAGATGCAACTTTATTATATTAATTCATTGACAAGGTAAAAAGATTTTATACAATAATATCTTTCGTAGATGCAACTATATTGTATTAATTCGTAAAACCTCTACAATATCTCTATGATTTGATTTAATGCCCATGGAATCATTTGTTGATTATGTTTGTGTTGCGTTAGTATAAAATTGGTAACTTTCCTAAGTGTCTAATCAATTGAAGAAAATATTTTGTATAGATTGAAAAGAAGAAACAATCACCTGACGGTTCTCTTGTTTTCTGACGATTTGACACGTTTGAGTTCTCCGGTGAGATATGTTGCTCTGAATCGGAAGGTCCTGAAGAAGTTAAAGAAACCGATTAATTTCCAAAACACATTAAACAAACATCAAAAGACAGAGAGCCTTAATCGGGAATCACAATTACCTGCCGTCCAACTAGTGCCTGCTAATCAATAATAAAAACAAGAATTCTTTGGTCTTGAGAAACACTAACTGTGCCTGCTAATCAATGAAACAAGAATTTTGTATGTCACTATTGCTTCCAAGAATATATTCCGTGCCCGATTATTCAATAAACGCTCAATAACTTTTAAAACATAATCACCTAACGGGAACCAAAAATTCAACCAATACCTGCTTATTTGAAAAAAAACAACAAGAATGGCACTACAAACCCATTCTACAAACCCACAAACCTCAATGGATTTCATGCATGAAACCTACAAACCCAATCAGCTCTAAAGAGATTTACTATCCTTAATCACATTTTAATGGCACTACATTCATGTCTTCGATAAAGGAAATAACATATAAAGCATTTACCGTTTCAACATACACAAGCAATACACTGTAAATGAGAGGAAAATAATAATCAACGAACCTTGTGAAGAGATGGACGACTCGTGCGGCGGCGATGAGGGTTGACGATGGTGGCTACCGTGAAAAATCGCTCGGACGAAGAAGGAACAGTAACGAAAAATCGCTTTGGGACGTTGAAGAGTGGAGGAAACACAAGAGTCACGTACAGTACCAACACAAAGCTTTAATCAAAAACATTAAAATTTATTATAAAAACAACCTACGAAAGCGCTTTTAAAAGCGCTTTCTAATGGTCATGTATAACAGCGCTTTTTCATAAAAAAGCGCTTTCGTAGCATACCCTATAGCAGCGCTTTTAAAAGCGCTTTCTAAAGGCCAGATTTAGCAGCGCTTTTGAAAAGCGCTTTCTAAGGCTGACCTTTAGCAGCGCTTTTGAAAAGCGCTTTCTTAGGTTCCCTCTGAAAGGCACCCTTTAGCAGCGCTTCTCAAAAAGCGCTGTCTAAGGGTGACCTTTAGCAGCGCTTTTGAAAAGCGCTTTCTTAAGGTACCCTATGAAAGCGCTTTTTTTAAGCGAATTTTTTTTAATATCTACAGCAACGCTTTTTCCTAAAAGCGCTTTCGTATGTGTGATGCTAAAGCTTATTTTTGGCGTAGTGTTTGCCAAGGTAACAAAGAAGGTTTATGGAAAACCTGCACCACAATGTTTGAACAAGTTTCTATCCATAGTTTGGACCAACCCTTATCCATAGTTGTCTCCGTTTCTCTAATTACTACAATAAATATGCTTGTTCAAGAATTTTCAGCTAAATACACACGGTGACAAATTTTCAGCTAAAATAGCTTATCAAGAATAATTCTAGCAACACACTTATTGTTAAAAACTTTTTAAAACACTCTATTTTATTGAACTTTTTATATGGGTCATGTTAAATCATATCTAAAATTTATTGAATCATTTACTTTTACGTTGAATTCAGACCTATTAAACCACTCTCACATTTTTCCAATAATAAATGCCCTCCATGTTTTAGTTATTTTTCAAATGACCAAAACTTGTATCAAATAATGACTCGCCATGTTTGGAGCAACATGTGTTTTTCAGAATAACATATCTTTCATTACCTATTTCACATGTTGGGAGTCTCATCAAAGATATTGCCTTTTGTAAATTAGTGTTGAAAAAAGGTGATGAATACTTACCTCTCTTAAAGTCTCGAGACTAGATGTTTCATCGTTAGTATTTTTTTCAAATGAAACTATAAAATGTTTTTCTTCGAGTCATTATCCTCTTTTACGATCTTTATTTCAGCGTTGCATCAATTTTTTCGCATTCTTTCTTTGAACCTCACGTTTTTGTTTTTTTCAATATCCATTGATTTGTTTACGGAAAGCATCTAAGCACTACACCAAAACTGTTTTAGGCAGTACATTATAGACATCGCTTTTTTTATCAAAGCGCTGTTATATATCTCGATAAAAATTTAAAATTTAAAATTATATATTAAACAACGTTTTATCAAAAAGCGCTGTCTAAAGTTAAGAAAAAGCATTGTCTTAGGTTCACAATATAAAGAGTTTTAAAAAAGTGTTGCTATATGTCTCAATAAAAATTTAAAATTTAAAATTATATATATTAAACAATGTTTTATCAAAAAGTGCTGCCTAAAGTTGAGAAAAAGTGTTTCCTTAGGTTCACAATAGAAAGCGCTGCTATATGTTCCGATAGAAATTTAAAATTATATACATTAAACAATGCTTTATAAAAAAAGTGCTGTCTAAAATTTAGAAAAAGTGTTGTCATAGACCCAACAATAGAAAGTGTTGCCATAGACAGAAAGCGCTGCTAAAGCCACACTTTAGCAAGCGCTTTCTAAAAGCGCTGCCTAAGGTTAATTAATATTGAAATTGAAAAATACATTCTATATCTCTTTTCGTTTTCTTCTTCGTTCACGAAATCCTTAACTCCTCTTGTTTCCTCCCTAACTCCTCTCGTTTCCTCTACCTCCGCTGGCCCATTCGTTTGCAGCTAAACACTCGTACGCAAAACCCTTGAAATTGAGCACAACGAAACTCTCAAAACCCAATTGGAGCGGAACTCAGTTGCAGCGAACGAAAAAACACAAGATTTCTACAGCTGAAAAACCCACAACCCACAAAGATCTTTCCTTCTACACGTGAGAATCCTTTAATTTGTTTTTCTTCTTCTCACATCGTTTGGATCTGCAATCTTTCAAGTTTCGTTCTTTTGCACTATCATGGGTCAATTCCCAATTCTCTTGTTTAGAAATTACTCAACAAAAAGTTGCTTTTTGGTTATAATCTTGAGTACCCTTTTGTTGATTTTGGATATTTTGGATGAAAAGACTCAATTTTGTGCAGCTTTTGCAGAGATTTTAGTTGGGGTGGTGAAGTTTTTCAACTGGTGTAGCTTGAAGATTTTGTGCCAATTTGAAAGTGATTTGTCAGGTTTCTTATGGGGTTGATAGTTTTTTACTTTCGGGTGAAGTTTTTTTCTTTACTGTTTTGATTTATGTTGAAGTTGAAAATTTCTAGGGCTTTGAATATTTTCTTAATTGTTATTAATGTGATGAAGATTGTGTGGGTTTTTTGTGGTATGTGTTTTGTTAGTTTAAGGATTTTGTTCTGACACACTTTTTTGAAAAGCTGTTAATTTTTTTTAGCATTTGATTTGTATATATTGATAATCTTGAAGGTTGAAATTGAAACGGGACCAGAAACTGTTGATAGTTGAAACCATGAAATTTGCTAGAATGTGTTTGGAATAGGCACTGTAAAACTCATTGTTTTGTGTAAACAAGTTCACATCATCCTTATTGAGTGTATGCTGGAAATTATGAATTTGAGGTTTATACGGGTATGCCTATTGACATTAACTTTTCTTGTTCAATAACTTGCGATATATACATTTATAAAAAAGTTGGTGAAATAAGATACATGCTATAAATACTTAAGGTAAAAACTATATTACATCTTAAAAACTTTATATCTAGATATAGTTATATGTTTGTTTTGATTTTACTTCTTCTTTTAAGTATTCAAGACAAATATGATTGATCAATTAATTAAAATGATGTATGTCTTTTTTTAATATTATTTTAAGTTTAATTATCCTATATTTTAGTGTTTAATTATACATGAAGAAATTGTGTATTATTCATTATTTTTTTATTATATGCAAGGTTTTTTGGGGGTGTTTAACTATCCTATATTCTGATTATATGCAATGTTGTTAGCTTGATTCTGCTAAACTAGTTAACTTTAAGATATTATGAAGATTTTAGGGTGCACGTATTCCACTCTCCTAATTAATTGAATATATATTCAAATTGGATTCAATTTTTTATGACCTTAGTAAAACCATGGATAAAAAATGGATATCTTCCAATTGATTGTCAAAAGAGTACGAGAATGAGGTATCAGAATTTGTTGATTTTACTGTTAAAGACCTCAGTCCAATGAAATGTCCTTGCTTGGGTTGCTGTTATGAGAGTCGGGTTGACACAGTTGGGTTGAAATCACATTTACTAAGGCATGGAATTGATCAAAGTTATACATGTTGGATATTACATGACGAGATAAGTAACAAGAATATTGAACTAGGGAATAGTACGACCTATGCTTCAGACGATAATGGCACAGATACATACGATTCTGATCGAGTATAAGAGATTGCAGAAGCACTTGAAGATCTTCAGGATTGTCCCAAAATGTTTGAGAGGTTGGTAAGCGATACAGAGAAATCATTGTATAAAGGTTGCACTAAATTCACAAGATTGTCTGCGGTATTAAATTTGTACAACTTAAAGGCGGGAAATGGATGGTCGGATAAAAGTTTCACATAGTTATTAGCCCTTATGAAAGACATGCTTCCAGAGGATAATGTTCTTTCTATTCGAACCTATGAGGCCAAATTTTTTTTCTCTATTGGCATGAGCTATGATAAGATACATGCTTGTCCAAACAGTTACATTTTATTTCAAAATGAATATGCATAGTTAAATGAGTGCCTTGAATGCAGTGTCTCTCGATATAAGAAAAAACTGTCTCCAGCAAAAGTCTTATGGTATTTTCCTACAATTCCGAGATTTAGATGCATGTTTTGTAGTGAAACCGATGCAAAACACTTGACTTGGCATGCAGGTGAAATAATTATTGATGGAAAGTTTCGACATCCGAAAGATTCACCACAGTGGATGAAAATTGATAATGATTATCCTGATTTTGGAGAAAAAGCATGAAACCTTCGTTTGGAATTATCTACTGATGGAATGAACCCACATGGTCTTCAAATTATCTCACATACCACATGGCATGTAATTATTATGATTTATAACCTACCTTCATGGATATGTATGAAGCATAAGTACATGATGTTATCTATGTTAATTTCTGGGCCTAAACAACCAGGGAATGACATAGACGTATACTTCGCACCTTTGATCGAAGGTTTAAAGATTTTGTGGTAGAACGGTGTCGAGGTTTATGATGAATATAGGAAAGAAAGTTTCAATTTAACGGCAATGTTATTTGGCACAATTAACAGTTTTCTAGCATACAAAAATCTATCAGGGTATAACATTAAAGGTCAACATGCGTGTCCTATTTGTGAAGATAAAACAGATATGACACGATTGGAAAATTTTCAGAAGAATGTCTTTCTTGGTCATCGTAGATTATTAAATTCTAGTCATCAATATCGTGGGTGGAGAAAAGCATTCAATGATAATCCAGAACACGGTAGAGCTCCACCTATATTGACAGGTGAACAAATTTTTGAAAAGGTGAAATATGTGAGTACTCAGTTTGGCAAGCCTTTTGCACATACGATTGTCAAGAGGTCATTTTTTTTTGAATTGCCATACTGGAAGTCTTTGTATGTCAAACATTTTCTTAATGTTATGCATATTGAAAAAAGTGTATTTGAAAGTGTTATTGGTACGTTATTCAATATAAAAGGAAAGTCTAAGGATAACCTTAAAGCAAGAGAGGACTTGATAATGATAGTAATGAGAAATGAATTAGGACCCTTGAAGAAAGGAAGAAAAACATATCTATCACCTGCTGCTTATACTCTATCTAGAAAGGAGAACAAACTATTGTGTAAGTTTCTAAGTGAAGTTAAAGTTCCAGAAGGATACTCTTCAGATATAGAAGACTTGTGTCTATGAAAGACTTCAAGTTAAAGAGTTTAAAGACACATTATTTTCATGTTATAATGGAACATTTTCTACCAATAGGTATACGTTCTATTTTTTTCAAAAAAAGTAAGAAGCACCATAACTAAATTATGTTTTTTCTTCAGGTCAATTTGTAGTAAGGTGATCGATCCTGAGATCTTACCAACATTGCAAAAAGAAATAGTTATTAATTTTTGTGAACTTGAAATGTTTTTCCCTCCCTCATTTTTTAACATAATGGTACATCTAGTTGTTTATCTTGTGAAAGAGACACAAATGAGTGGACCAGCTTATATGAGATAGATGTACCCTGCTGAACATTATATGGAAATATTAAAAGGGCATGTGAAAAACCGAAGTCGTCTAGAGGGTTGCATTGTTGAATGATACATTGTTGAAGAAGCGATTGAGTTTTGTACAGAATATTTGTCCAATGTTCAATCCATTGGACTCCCCAAATCTAATATTTTCGAGAAAAAAAAGAAGGAAAAAAGTTAACTAGAAATAAAATAGTGACAATATCAAGGGCTGAATGGGATCAAGTACATTTGTATGTTCTGCATAATGACAACGAGGTTGAGCCGTATGTTGAAACACACTAGGATGTACTCCAAAGTTTAAATCCAAATAAAAATGAAAATTTGATAGTACAAGAGCATAATCAAAGTTTTATACCATAGTTTAAGAATCATATTCATTCACAATTTTATTTAGATCTCGCTTCAATAATAGAAAGGTTGAGATGTTTAGCATATGTTCCAAGTTTGAATGTGTTTTCTTATAGCGGATACACAATTAATGGATGCACACTTTATACCAAAGAACAAGATTATAAAAATACTATGTAAAATAGTGATATCAATCTGGTAGCTGAAGCAATGCACATTTCAAGTATGAAAGATTTAAACCCCAAATATGTGAGTATGTCATATTTTGGGGTTATCGAGCACATTTGGGTGTTTGATTATGAGAAGTTTTAGATTCCTATGTTTGGTTGCAAGTGGGTACATATAGTGGCATACGAATTGATAAGTCAGGATTTTTGCAAGTGGATCATAATAGGGTGGGGGTACAAAGATGAGCCTTTTGTTATGGTCTCTCAAGCTAAACAAGTGTTCAATGTCACTGATCCGACAAATATGAAATGGTTTATAGTGCTTTTATCTAACAAAGTGATTGATGATAACAGTGCAAATCAAGGTGATGTTGAGAATGAGTCATATATTAGAGGGAATGAATCGTACATTAGAAATGATCAAGATGAGAATATTATAACGAATGAATCATATATTAGAAATGATCATAATGAGGAAATTAGGATCAATCCATCTGCCCGCGTTGTTAAGAGACAAGTATTCATGATCCAACCTTGAAAAGAAAGAGAAGTTAGTGAAAAAGGTACTAGTAAAATGTTATATATTATGTCATTCAATAAAATTATATATTTTGTCATTCAATAAAATTATATATTATGTCATTCAATAAAATTATATATTTGTCATTTTATATATGCAATGGATTATGGAATTTTATATTGTGTTTATGTTTTTCATTATTGCAGGTCAAATGTCTAGTAACGAGGAAAACTCACATGATGCTTCTAATAATGATGGAGATGAAACAGTTCATGATATGTGATCAGTGGTTTTTACACAATTATTTTTCTTTGATTTTACTTATATTTTTTATTTAGTTTCAAGTGTTTTATTTTATTCTTCCATATTTTATGCATTGGTTATATGTTTTTGTGTTTTCATACTCAGGAATAAAATAGGACAAATCTGGGAGAAAAAATGTAAAACTTGGAGTTTTAAAGAAAGTGGAAAATCATGTTATAGGAGGCTTGACACGGCCACCCATATCACTTGACACAGGCCGTGTCAGGATGAAGGGCGTGCAAATGGAGGAAGTCAGGGGGCTGACACAGGGGGCCGTGTCACCTCACACAGGTCGTGTAAGCATGCCTGAGACTGGAAAAAGAAAATAAATTATCAAAAGTCCAACACGGACGGCTGTGTCACCTAACACGGGCCGTGTTGGCCAATGATGTTAATTTTGAGTGTTTTCAAAATTTTTCACTATTTGGGACCCATAGGGACATTTTGGACATTTTCGACTGAGACAAATGGATTGTTCACTATTTAGCCAAGTTTTGAAGAGAAATTAGGGGACTTTTTTGCACACGAAGAATTCAGAGGATTGGAGATTGAAGTTTATGCAATTCTTCGAGACGAAGACTTTCATGAGCGGAAGCAATTGAAATCAAAGTTTTCCATCAATTCATA